TCTGAAAAAGCATGTAGCAGGGCTTGTGTGTATTTTTAGTGTTCTCTAGAATTTGATTAATAATTAATATGGGTTCTCTAGTACTATGGTCAGGAAGTGTTGCCCAATTATGGGGGGATAGTATGGGGTGTTTCATTAGTACTTTGGTTAAGTAATTTGTAATAATTTTGGTAAATATTTTTTTAATTAATTCAAGTAAAGTTATAGGATATATGATATTGATATTGTGTTACTACTCCTTGGGTTTTTGGATGGGGTATATAGTACCGACCTTCCATTCTTTTGAGACTGACTCTTTATTTAAGAGAATATTAAAGAAGAAGATGAGGATTTCGAGAAAGTCCTTGCTCATGTGTTTATATGCTGCATAGGGTATTTGTGATGGGCCTAGAGTAGATTTGTTACTAGTCTTCTTAAGGTTTTCGAGCAATTCGGGTAGTGAGAAAGGAGCCAAGGTCACTTTGTATCAGATTGAGTTAATATTTGGCTTGCGTTTGTATTCCTGCTGCCAAATAGTTTTTCCTGTTCATGGATTTGTCTATGTTTGATCCATTATTGGAAGTGTGATCGGATTTCCTTTTTAATTTCTACAGGATCTGTAACAAGTCATTTCTCAGAGGATGTGCTATTGATTAATCTACTGGTGATTATACTTTTTTTTGATTGTCCTAGGATAGAATTGATCATTCATTTTTTATCTTAATTGGACCAGCTGATTCATAGTGCCTTCCATTTTTTAATGTTGATGACCATTTTATTCTTGATAGCTTTTTTTCTGGCAAGTCTTTCGATCGTGATTAGTGTATCAATTTCTGATATAACATCCTTTGTGTTTTGATATGAATGCCAGGTAGAAAGTGGGATTTTTTGTGATATAGCTTGTTGAAAGACATTGCATCTGTTAGGATTATATCTAGTTGGTTGTTTCTCATAAAGTAACAGTTGTCTTCTATATTCGTTTAGTTGTAGAAGAAGTATAGATTTTCTTTGTTTTGTTTTTTTACTTTGATTTTTTTGTTTTTCCTTGTACCTCTGAATATGTTTGTTTGCAGCTTTAAGAATTATGTCCCAAATGGTGTTCCAGATCTGGTCAATATCTGGTTCGGGTTGAGAGATATGTGTTTGTAAAGTTTCTTTGTAAGAGTCTAAGTATTTAGTGAAGGCTTTCCATTGTTCCTCTGATGTTCCCTACCAGTCCTATCATATGTTGTTATGTAGGTGGCGGAGATGCTTTGCCATGTCCTCAAGTTCCCATGTTTCTAAGTATGTAACTTGGATTTTATGATCTGTGGAAATAGCGGTATTATCTGTGATGTATGAGTCGATAGAGCACCAGGTAGGTCAGGAGCTGCACCATATTATATCTATTTGACTAGCACTGCTATGTGCTACAGAAGTTTTTGACCAGATGTATTCCTTGACATGAGGATTGCGATGACGAAAGGTGTCAAAGAGGCTAAGCTCTTCTAGTTTTTAGAAAAAAGGGTTGATTGAATTTTTTATTATCCTGTAGTTACTGGAGATTTTGTCGAGCTTAGGTGATGGGATGGAGTTGAAGTCTTTCCTACAATGAAATGCCAATTGTCATAGTTGTGCTGTTTTATCCATGAAATGACCTGAACTTGTACTTTGTTTCTTTTATATTCTGGACTTACTGGCAAGTATATTTCTATTATTCTGCAGTATCTCTTTTTTGGGAGGACCAGATCGATGCATATAAGTCTCCCCTATTTTTTCTCAATGTTGATTACCCTATCAGCAATGCTCTTTCTGATTGCAATGCCTATACCTGTCCCCATATCATCATTGCTATACCACCATGTGGTGTAGCCTTTGGTCTTCTAGTATTTAGTGTCTTCATTCTTCCTTTTTGTTTCTATTGTGATAATAATGTCCCATGCTTTGTAATCCCAGGAGTTTATCCATAGTTCTCTCTTTATTGGGTTATTAAGTCCTTGGCAGTTGCAAGTGGTGATGGTTCAGAAGGGTTTGTGTTGTTGTTTGCATGTATCGATATTGTTGAAAGTATAAAGGGTTTTGTTATTGATATTTAATTGAGTATTGGAGATTGCTTTGTTTTGTTGTGTTTTATTGAAATTTATATAGTCATTTTGGTTTGTGGATATGTCAGAGATATTGTCTAATTGGTTCCCATTGTTAATTGTATTTTGTTATGTTTGCAATTGTTGGACAGTAGAGTCTTTTGGCATAGAGATATTACTTGTTGTATTTTCCATATTTATTGTTTGATAGGAGAGGAAGGACTTGTGTTTGTAGGGATCATGTTTGTGATGTTAGAAACTAGTGTATTTATTGTTCTATTTATATTTCCAATAGAGTTGTGTAAGTGTTGTTGTTGCTGTTGGATGTTGCTCAAGTCTGAGGTGTGTTGGATGGTGAGTACTCTGTTGTTGCTACTTTGATTGTGGTCTTTCTCCATGTCTTCTACATTGTCGAAACAATATTGTTCTAGGCTATCTATTCTCTCATCTAGGTTGTACACGGCTTCTTTGATTGTTTTAAGCTCTGATTGAATTTCAGCTAGCATGGTTGCTATGTCCTAAGTGTTCTCTTGATGAGTGTTCAGAAGTTGTTGTCATGGGTGTTTGTTTTTTACAGCTAAGGTATATGATCTTGAAATAGTTGTGGTTCTCTTAACAGGTGGGTTTGTCAATTGGCGGATAGGTGCTAAGTTGGCTGATCTGTAATATTGATATAATTTTCCAAACTTTTTAGCTTGTTCTTGATTGAATTCCTTCCATTGCTCCCTTCTTTCTTTGATAACATAGTTTGCTATAAGGTGTTGTGGGCTATTACAGATGGTGCAAAGTTTGGTATCGATTGGTCTGCATTTAAGAATTGTTTCACCTAGTGTGAAGGTTTTAGTAAGTGCTTGTTAAAGGTTGGCTTCATCCTCAAAATTGAGAACTGCATATTTTCTGGATTTGTATGATAGTAGGTGGGGATGTAGCAGGTTTTAGCCCCTGTTTCTTGACAGATGAGTTTGAGATCGAAAGCATTTGTGTTAGATTGGAGATTCGTAAGTTTAAAGGAGTGATTGCCCCAGTTTTTCATTTGTTCAAGGTTCCATTCTGCATCAAAAATTCTTATAGAGTGTGCTTTGATTAATGTACTCTATTGATCCCAGAGTTTGAGTTTGTCTTCTCTATTTGTGAATGTGATTGTCGTGGATTGCCACATGTTTCTAGTTATTATCTTTATATTATTAATTTGCTTGAATTTGGTAAAGATTTGTTGTATATCTATGAGTCTTGTGTTCAGGGGAATGTCCCATACCCTGATGCTGTATTCCTTATTGAGCTTATGTATGGTTTTTTTTATGTATGATAAGTAGAGATTGTTTGTATTGGGTAAAATAAGATTGCTTGCATAATCTGTTACTTGTTTATTTTTGAAAATGGTAATGATGTAGTCTTCATCTTCGCAACATTCATTCTGGATTATGAGGAGGCTTTCTGGGGAGTTCAGGGCTTTCGTAATGTGAAGTATCTTCTTGTGAATTGTTTTATCAGGGATTAGTAAAGCTTTCATTTCCAACTTGATTCTTTCCCATCCGTATTTGAGTCTGGGGTTGAAAGATGACCTGGGTCATGGTCTTGAATCAGGTGTGTACATCAATGGTTTTCTGTTTTTTCCCTTGCTGTTGCTAGCAATCTGCCAGTTATCTTCTGCTTTTGAGGGTTCCTTATTGAGATCCATGTTGATGTCAGAATCATCTAGCCTTGCTGTGTACTGTACCTGGGATTCTGCATTAATACCTACGCATTCTGTGTCTGCTGATATTTGGTTTTGTTCTCGTTCAACTTGCTTACTTTATAAGCTGGAGCTGCTGCTACTGTTTTCATTGCTGTTTATTGCTGTTGTGGTGTTGTTTGTATGATTTTGTTTGGAGGCGAGAGTATTTTTGGAAGGAGAGGATATTTTTGGAAGAAGAGGGTATTTTTGGAAGGAGAGGGTATTTTTGAAAGGAAAGGGTATTTTTGGAAGAAGAGGGTATTTTTGGAAGGAGAGGGTTGTTTCTTGTTTTCATTTTTGCTTTGAGTTGTTGCTATATGTTTTTTTTGGGGGGTGTCTGTTCCTTGTTCTTTTCAATGAGGTTGGCCTTTTCCTTGGATATTTTGTTTATGTTGAAGTTTGACCTGCTAGTAGCATATTGTTGTTTCTTTGGTCTTTCCATGTCTTTTTCTCTTTAGCATTTTGTTACCTGGGTTTGCTGCACCACAGGTGAACAGGAAAGAGTCTGTGTGAATTATTGTTTTGAAAGCAATTATATATAAAAAATAAAGAAAAAGTATTGTTTTATTAATATTATATTAAATATATCAAGTAATAAAAAATATATGTACAGTATATAGTATATAATATATATTGTAGTAAAAAATAAATGAAATAAACTTTTGTAAAAAGATTAAAATTATTAAAGAACTCTAGATATTAAAATGGTAACAAATTCAAATCAATTATATTTTCTATTTTTAATAATAATAAAGGCTAAAAAAAAAATTGATAATTAAAAAATATCAAATTAATAAAAATAGAAATTGCTTGAATTTAAACTCAAGAATATTATGAAAAATTCTATTTTTTCAAATAAGAATAAAAAACTAGTCATTGTCCACTGCATATTTTTTATTAAATGGATATTTTGAAAAAAAAAATATCAAATTATTATACAGAATGTATTCTTCACCAATTTATTTAAATCCAAATAAAAATATCGAAATGCCTTTTTTTTACTGTCTTTTTATGTGCATTATCTTAAATATTCAATAATTTTGGTCAAATATTCTGATATTTTACAACAGGCATGTACTGCATATAATAAATAGTCTGAAATCTCTCTTGACATATCCAAAATTTTTTCTTTTGTTTATTAGCATGCCGCAGAGCTTTCAGCAGGCGCGACAAAATTTATATATATATTGCACAAGTGATGTACACATGGAAAGAAAGTTATTGGTAACATGTAAATACTGTTATTATATATTAACTATCGCCGACTGGTGTTTCTTCACCAACTCCTTTTTGATATTACTCCCGGAACCATTACTATATCCATAAGTGCTGACTGTGCTTAAGGTTGTACTGTCAGAGAATGAATTGATCGAATGCCGCGATTCACTATATTTATGTTCACTTTTTGTCCGTTCCGAATTGAAGAAAAATGAATTGGCATTCATAGTATCATGCATGGAAGTTGCCCGCCTCGGTTTTAATGAAAAAATATTGTTATGAGAATTCTGAGGTTGCGACGGGTCATTTCGTGAAGGCATGGTTGAACTATTATATCCTGAGTTCAACGAGTAATCTGCTTCATAATAATCATCATCACCTTTTTCCTCTTGTATATTTACAGATGATACTTTCGCAGGTTCGGACACGAAGGTACTATAAAATTTGCGTTAGAAGGCGGAAAAGTGACGATTGTTGAGCATCAAGTTTTAAGAAAATCAAACCTACTTGTAAATTATCGTCCATTGGGTTATGTGTATGAGAAGAGGCACAAAGTAATCCCCAATTACAAGGTAAACAATATCTGCACCATAATCCCAGACTGTGTGAGATCTGTAAAATACATCGTACAACGGAACTACCACCAAGAAAAAGCATGCAGAAAGAAGTTTCAAAGCGGCGGTTAACTATAAGAATGAAGATGATAAACAACCCATCTCATTAAGTCATAAATGCACATTGTTTTGGACACGTTGGATATGCCTACTTTCTTTCCAATTGTTGTATAGTCAACGTTTCCTACAGAAGCGATAAACCGGTTCCAAAATAACATTGATCCTGTCAGATAAAAGATGCCAAATACTAACCATGCAACACAGGAGGCCATGTATAATGTGTTTGCGATTCCAATTTGATTGATATCGGCGTAGTGACCGGTCAAGGATGCTAGTGGTATGAACAAGCCGATTGGTAATAACATTAGCAGGACGCCAACTAAGTCGATGCGAGAGGCATTATATGAAGCTGGTGGAAAGGATTCCAATTCGAGATCGTACGTCGAATATACTAAATCGAAAAGGAGAATATTTGAGAATGAAACTTATCAATGTGATGAATACGAAAATTCTTACTTACGAATACTTAAAAAGTATAGTACCGAAAGTGAAGCACCAAGCGTTCTGGGTAAAATGTGTCCTACTGTCATATATATATATATATTGCAGGCAGGGTTATTTAATTGAAAAATAATCATCGAATCATTCCGTCACCTCACATACTTTCTGCCCAGCCGACACTTGGATAAAGGTCATAAAGTAGGCATAATGAGTGGATCACTTGAACTATAAGGGAAGAGAAATTCATCATCAAGCAGTCCGCTAAAGTCAACTTGGATAACATTTATAGAGCTCTACCTAGACAATATACTAAGGCTATTGCGTAACACGTGTGCTGTGTTCTCGGTCTCAATATTCCTCGATCTCTTCTTGGAAGTAAAAAAAATGATTGTTTTTTGTCGCGTATCAAATGACAAAGACACATTATAGACGTTAAGCTTAGAATCAAACAGTAGGGGATTAATACCCAATTTACCACTACGAGTACTTCTGACTCGGGGCATCCATGTATGTTGACTCGAAAGTCGCACACACATGAAGAAATGTCCCATATGAATTTACTATTTGATGAAATTCCGTCTTTACATACAAGTGTGTATCTATTTAAAATCTGAACCATTATGACATGGATTAAAGTCCTTCAATTTATGATACAAAAATATGTGGAATAATGAAAGTGAAAATTAATTCACTGAAATTACGGAATATTACAAAAATATATATTGCAAATGCACTCTGATGCGCGATGCGCCTTAAATGTTAATGCGTACAACGAAAACTTATGTACTGTACGTATTAAAATAAAAAACGCCAATTCGACCACATTGGAATTTATTGAGTTTTCTTCTTTGCGCGAACCAATCAGTTATATTCTATTCTTACTCATGCTGTATGGTTACCCTTTATAGAAACGAGACATTGGATCTTTATTATCGTAGATACAGAAACGCCGTTTTAAGAATTTTACTGTGACTAATGACTTATAGTATGTGGTAGACAAATCTAAAATAACACTTGTCTTACTTAAAATTAGCAATACGTGCCCAATAATGCATCAAGGTTTGTCGAAATGCAGGTGGAAGAAGGATCATCATATGATATCGAAATGAATCATGAGTGTAACTTTCGAACGTTAACATTTGCGTAAAAGCGATCTCTTTGTGCTTACTCAGCAGTTATGCGTGCGTGCAGTATATGTTGAAACTAAATAAAATAGTCCATCCTCGTGAGAGGTCGTCATTAATTTATCAACCGAATTTACTTTAAAACTTTCGTCATTGTAACAGAATCAATTCAAATAAGAAAATTAGCATCAGGGTCACTTTTATAAATTTATTGGAATTTTTACTAAAATAAAATTTTTTATTGGGCAACGACGGTCACATGAAAACACGTGAAACGTCGGATATTTAAAGTTTGACTGATAGTCAATTTAATAAGCTATACGTTCCCTGTTATTTTCTATAATTAACGCACAATGTTGTCTCATGAATCGAACCAATCCAATTAGAACAACTTTTTTTTATTTTTTTTCCATTTCTCATCCATATATCATTCTAAATAATTTAGATTTTTTGATATATGTTTTTCATATTGCTCTTGATGATATTTCATAAATTTTCAATCAGATTCAAGTCAGGGCTATTAGATAATCAGTTTATATTATTTGACATATCTTTTATCATAAAGGGCTTATTAATATCGAAACAAAAACAATTAGAGATTAAAAAGTTATTTAAATGCTCTTTAATAACAGAAAAAGTTGAATTCCAAATGATTGAACAAGTTTTAATTCAGGTAATAAAAAATATAATCTACTTAATAGTGTACTTAAAAACTTAAAATAGACTAGTTACAAGTTTTAATAAGAAAAGTTGTCACTTTAATTAGATAAAAAAAAAAAAAACTTATTGTAAAGTTTAAATAGATTTTTTATCAAATACTATAGAAAAGATTAAAAGTTTAAAAAATAATATTTTCTTTTCACCTATTAACTGAGATACAACTTTACTACCAATTCTATAGAATATCAATTAGATTTTACAAAGTAGATAACTACAATAGATTATTGCTATTAAAAATTAAATTATTGTTTTAATTCAATAAGATCAAAAGTATAAAAATAAAAAAATATCCACTCTTTTAGGCAACCTAATAGATAGATTACCTTTTAATACTAAACAAAATAGAAGATATACAATATTTTTGATATACAGTAAGTACTATAGAAATAGAAGTTTATATAGAAAATTAAAGAATAACTATTATAAAATAATTAGAAAAGTATATTAATAAATTATAGAATATTCTTAAATACAATCAGAAAAAGAAGTTGAAACTTCATTTTCTATACTGATAAATCCTTTCAAAAAATAGTAAAAAACTTGGAATCAAAATCTTAAATAGATTTTATATAAATTCAACTTCAAATAATATTACTATTAATCAGTTTGCAATAGAAGCTTTACTATAACCATTAGAGTAAGAATAAAAATATTATCAATTATAACAATACTCCTGGTTATAGTATAAGATACTAAAGTAATTATATATTCAAATTATAAAGTAATTATCAAGATATAAAATATGATATATGTTTTTTTTTTTTTTTTAACCCTCTATCAGGTTAGTTAAGTGTGCTTTATTAAACATTTGTAAACTATACATATTAAATGAAATGCTAAAGCTAAATCTCTAACTAACCCACTCGTTTTGGTTATATTATCTCTCTAAGTATAACTTCGAAAGTGATTTATCACTCCGTTAGAGGTTCAGGTAAAGACCCTTCAACTTTTAACATCCTTGCCCACAGGTTACTACTGCAGATCACTCTTTTGAGCTCTGACAGAGATCAAAACTCCAACTACTTCATACTATACTTCACTCTATTTAATAGGGTTTCTTTCAACTTCTTATCTTCAACTCTTTTTTCTTCATATATCGGTTTCTCACTGGATCAACTTTTAGTAATTTTATTCATTTTTTCCTGATCACGTAGATGTAACGGTCTTGTTTTCTTGTCATTTTTACGGATTTCTAACTTCTGTTCCTATTCAATTATCTTTTCACATCTTGCATTCTATATTTTCTTTCAAAAGTGATTGCGTACTTTTTCTTGTATCTTCGTTATCCATTTTCTAGCTTCTTTTCCAATTATCTTGCCATGACATGTCAAATCTGCTATATTGATAACTAG